TCTGTAGTTGGCAATCTTTAAAAGTGTGTTTATTGGGCCAGTCATGGGGCCATGTAGTCCGGGGAAACCAGATCTCACATGTTCAAGTCTTGGATCCGATGGCTTGAAAGGCATGCTGGGTACACATGCCTGTATGTCCAACGTCCGAGGGGATGGAGAGAGAAAGGCGAAGGGATTATGGGGCGGCTGTACCCCAGTTGAGGGGTTCTTTCTCCCTGTCCCTCTCTGTCTTTCTGTCTCTTTCTGGCAAGCACATGTGTCCTCTGGAAACTTAAAAAAAAAAAAAAGAAAAAAAGTGTGGGCCAGCCACATGGCCTAGTGGTTAAGGGAGGCAGATCCCACATAGTTTGACTACACTGTTTGAATCCTGCCCCTCAGTGTCTTGAAAATCATACTGCACACATGCACGTGTGCCCAAAATCCCTACATGATGGAAAAATGAAGGAGATGGGATGACAGCATGGCCATACCCCATTGAGGGGGGCTTTCTTCCTCTCCTTCTTTCTTTGTCTATCTCTGGTGAGCATATGCACCCTCTGGCAATTTTTTATATCCTTATTTTAAGTTTACTACATAATTGTAAACAATAAATACTATGTAATAGTAAATATTTACTACTTAATAGTAAAGTATACTATTTAATAGCTTAGTTCCTGATATAAATGTTTAAAGTTTATAGTCAGAAACAAGACACAGATACTTGTTATCACTACTGCTTTTATTCAATATTGTATGTGAACTCCCAACTAATGCAGGTAGCAAAATAACAATAATACTAATAAAAAAAAGAAAAGGTAAAAAGATCGGAAAAGAAAGAAAGAAATCTCTCGCTATTCTTGGGTGATATATAGGATCATGTAATAGAAAGTTTAAAAAAAAAATCTATATGGGACCAGCAGTTGGAGTAATGGCTTTGTTGCTGAACTCCCATGTAGTCAACTGTGATTCGAGTCCCCAAACCTGGTAGCTTAAACTCATGCCGGGCACATGTGCATGCATGCCCAAGATCCCAAGAGGAGACTGGAGGAGAAAGGATTGTGGCGTGGTCATCCCCCCTGGGGGGTCATTTCTCACTTTCTATCTCTCTGTCTCTCTGTCTTTCTGGCAAGCGCTCACACCCTATAGCAAAAACTTCTCAAAAAATATATATATAAATTATTTAGTTAACTGGAGTTTGCTAAGTTGCTAGAAATAAGGCAATAACAAAATTTTACTGTATACATATTAGCAATAAACACAATATAATACTTAAATAGATAGCATTTCAAACCTATCAAATATGCAAGACTGTTCCACATAAAAGAGTAGGTAAATGCTTAAGAAAGCAAATAAGAAATGGAAAAAGTATAATGAGAGGAAATAAAGTACAAAGTCACTGTAATTAAATCAATATGAGTATTGGTATAGGG